GGAGAAACTACACCTTTGTTCATAACCACTCCTTTAGCCCTAGCTGGCCCGCTTTGGCCCAAGGTTTTCGTCGGGCCAAAAAACCCAGAGGAAGCACCGACGAGGCACGATCAAGCCCCGGAAGTGACAGTGGAAACGCGACTGGCCCTGGCACGCACTAGCACGCCCGCTTTTGGCCCGACAGTGGACACGCAGCTAATGATAATTATGACAAAGAAGCATCGCCATTGGGAAACGTGACGATGCATAATTCACTTCAAACTCGCATTCAGATCTGACTTAAATATCTCACTCTGACAAATGTTTTGCAGTAGGATTCATAAAATGATCTTTGACATTTTAGCTGCACACATCAGTGAGCTGAACTCCTGTTTAATGTCAAAGAAGTTATAAAAGGTCCGTGTTTACGCTCTGATGACTGTAAAAGCTCTGTAGATGTCAAACTGCTCAAGACGTCTTGCCAAATCTCGTATCAGAGTTCAGCTAGTGCTGCTGTTCAATTAAACACGAGCTGATCCAGAAGAACTAGAGCTTGAGTGGGAAAGAGAATAGAAATACATGGACTTCATATATACTGTATATTCATCTGTTGAAGCTGTTTTGGATTTGGTGCTTCTGGGAATGTTTATCAATCACGTCTCTTGTATGGCATTTCGGGTCAAATGTCTCCGTTCATTGAGCTCGTGAGACATGGATGACTTTAATTTAAGTAACCGAATCAAACTTTATTAGAATTTAAAGGTCATTCTGGAAACGAAACATAGGGTTTGTCCTGTATTTGTGGCATAAATTCAGTACATTTACAATTGAGATTATAATTGAGAGTTTTTAGATATTTTGATGTTATTTTTATTGCTGTTTAAAGAAAATGTTTTATACAGTATTAAAGAAAAACGGGGATATGCATTCTGTAAATATTTTTAAAGCAAATATGCATTCATGAATGGACAGAGTCTGTACTTTCTGATAAGTAAAAAGCATTTAATCAGTGCTATTACTACTGATGGTTGTCATTATTAATTCCGTTATTATTAATTTGTTAATGTCGGCATGAAATTAAAATGGACTTATATTGCTTTAATTCATGTTTCCGCTCTTAAACGGTTCTAGTGGTTTAACTTGAAGAAATTATGACAGAAATATATTACTGTTGTACAGGGACAGAACTAAACATGCAGCCGACTGTCACTGAAGGGATAGTTCACCCTGAAATTGAATTTGTGTCGTTATTTACTCACTCACATGTTGTCCCAAACCTGTATTAATTTCTTTCTTATACTGAACACAAAAGAAGATATTTTGAAGAATGTGGGTAATCAAACCGTTGCTGGTCCACATTGAATTTGATAGTAGGAAAAAATGCTATGGAAGTCACTGGGGACCAGCAACTGTTTGGTTTTCCACATTCTTATGTTGAGCAGAAGAAAGAAACTCCTTTTTTCAAACTTTTGAGTGAGTAAATGATGGTATAAAAATAAAACACTATGACAGAATTGACCATTTTTATTTTTGGGTGAACTATTCCTTTAATGTTAATAAAACAACAAAGCAAAGAGAAAAATCCCTCACTACTCTTGAAAAACTTTAATGCAGTTGCTTTAATAGGAATCAATCTATATAGTGTTTTATTTTTATATTTGTTCATAGGGCTGGGCGATATAGCTAAAAAATGTATCAACGATATAATGTTTCATATCGTTCGGTATCGATTTAATTTTTTTATTATTTTTTTACTTTTTATTTATTTAACCACTGCATTTTTTAATCAACCCAATTTATTGAGACAAACAATGAATCTTTTTTTTGTTTTAACAGTCAAACACACAATACAAATTAAACAAACATCTAATTTCGAATGTTTTATATGCAGATTAAATAGGTTTTAAGGAAACTAATGTCTTGTCTCCCGAGGCCACAGGAGGACGCAGTGAGCAAAATAATGCAGCACATATTGTCAACGCAAGGAAATAGCTGTCTATAAAAAACCGTGCATTACGTCTAAATTAACTCGTATAAATCAAATATAATTTCATAAATTGCATAAACAATTATGAACAAAACAGCATCACATATTTATGCATTGCTTAATACAAAGAGCTGAATGGCTCATCACTCAGATTGCATTTAAAAACATATGAGACGCAGTGAAAAGGAATAAACCTCCACAAATTCGACGTGTTTTCTAAAAGTTTCAACCGTTTTAACTTTGCATGGCTACATCGTTTTTGTGAGGAGCGAGTGCAGCAGTCATATTTGTCCGTCTAAAAAAATGGGCTTAATATATGCGTTCTGTGTGAATGGCTTTTTTTTGTTTTAACCTAATCGATATCTTCTCCGCATTGAGCTTCTATATTTCTCTAATATTTTGAATGCATAACACAGCAGCGGCCGGCGCGTCTCGTGGGCAAGACTAACAAAACATTAAAATGCAACAACGTCACTTGCATCATTATCACCGCATCTCGTGCTCCACTGATGACGCTCCCTGACCCACACCTAACATTCAAATGCAAATATTAATTTTTTTTGTTCACAACCTCCTCATCACAGGCAGGCGCAGCACTCATGTTCGTGTTTGTGTGTGCTGTCTGCGTCACTCAGAGCAAGTGCCTTAATCGTGCGCTATATCGAACATTTTTTATATCGTTATCGAAGAAGGTGTACCGTCGATAAATATCAATACAGTTTTATCGCCCAGGCCTATTTGTTCATTCAATTTCTTGAATGCTTCTGCTAAATACACCTATTGTACCTGAAAATAAAACAATGTTTGTTTTATTGGGATATTATGTGTATCTTTGTTCTTTTTTAATAACAAAGATAAAGTAATGACAAAGATTTTTATCTTCGCCCACTTTGGCCTAAATATCCGCCATTCTTTTTTATATTTGGTTACCTTGAAAGGTATTGTCTTTATAATAGGGAAATTAGTTTGGCTGTAATGCTCAGACAACTCACAAAATAGTAAAACCAACATGACGGTAAAATCGTGAATCGTGAAATGATATTTTTGCCATATCGCCCCCCCCCCTAGTTTATAATCATATCTAAGGGTTTTGTTAGCGTAAGGCTTTTTTGTGCATCCGGGCTCTGGATCTCTGGGCACCACTGAAAGTGCATCATCTGTGTTTTCTGTGTATAGTGATGTTTTCTGTGTATAGTGATGTTTTCTGTGTATAGTGATGCAGAGACGCTGTCAGTAATGTCATCATCATCAAACCTGAGCATGTTGTTTTCTGTGTATATCTGTGTTTTCTGTGTATAGTGATGTTTTCTGTGTATAGTGATGCAGAGACGCTGTCAGTAATGTCATCATCATCAAACCTGAGCATGCAGTACCACAAACAAACTTCAGGCCAAATGTTAACAAGTGTCTGGAAGTCTTCAGCGTTTCAGATGGGTTCCTCTGGTAGAAATAATCTCCCTCCCGTGAGCACTATTGAGTGGACGGGAAAGGGGGTTATTTTTAGGGTGCTTTGAATGCCTTGCCTTATTTGGGACGGTTTACGAGCACTAGAGATCGTTCAGGGCCGCGAGACGCTTCAGGGCCGATGGTTTTGTGGGAGGTAGAAGACAGAAAAACACTCGATCAGTGAACGTCCTGTACAAGAGAGCAGAACAATCACGTCACGATGATTACTTTTCCCAGCCAAATATCATCCCTGTATTCAAGTGATGTTTGGGTAAAGCTCACAAAGACAAAGACAGCTCATATTTTACTCCAAAATGAAGAATGAAAAGATTAAAATAAAATAAAAATGTAAAAAATTATATTTGACATAAAGAAAATGAAACCTCTAAAATCTCACAGACTGATGAAAACCATTCTGCCTGATCATTGTTTTATATATATATATATATACAGTATATATATATATAATAAAAATATATAATTATATTTAAAACACAATTTCATTTTAAATTAAATTTTAAATATATCTTATTCATTATTTAATTGTGTGTGTATAATAAAAAATAAAAATGTGATTAAACATATCTATAGTTAGTTATATATAAATATAGTTTATATATATATATTGGACATGTCAGAATGACAGAGCAGATACTTGAAATCAATACATAAATGCTTAATGGATGATGTCAAAATGCTCAGTACAAGACGTGATTTGACTGGACAAATAATTGAACAGAATTTTTTTTCATCATTACAATATCTTTGTTTCCATCCATTTAACAGAATTTGGAATTTTAATTCATGTTTTTGAGTTTTAAAAGTTTCAAATTCACTTATTTTTTCAGTAATTGAAATTCAAAGTGATTGAAAAGTGCAGTGAAAGAAAATAGAAAAAAAAAATATATATATATATATATATATATATATATATATATATATAATACATTGATATGATTTTATTATATATATTTATTTATTATTTATTTATTTAATATTAGAAAGTCGCATTGCAAAGAAATCTTAGTGGTCCCAAAATAAGCTAAATGTTCTGTATGCAGATTATAATGTATTTATTTCTTCTCTCTTTTGATTTTGTTTTTTTTTACAATTTCGATTATTTAGATTTTAGATTTTCTATGATACAGATACAGATCGATAAAATGTAATAATAATAAAAAGTTTATAATAAACGTTTTGCACATTCTGTGTCACAGTGAAATCTTGAGCTTTCTAATCAGTCTAGTCTTTAAGGATTTCACTGAATTCAATATTTAGTGATGCATCTGGAAATAAACAGCTTGCATGTGTTGTTTTGAATGTTGACCAGCAGCAGTACTTTCTTCCTCATGAAGATGAAGCTGGCAGCTGGGAAATCTGCACCAGTAACCAGCACAAACTGGTCTGTCAGCACTAATAGTTATGCGTGTGTAAGCTAACTAACCCATGGACCTGTGACAGATTGAGCTGGATTTGCATGGCTTCTCCTCTCGCTCACCTGCTCGTATATTGTTGGTATCATCAGTGATTATTCTGCGATGATGTTTAGTTGCGTCTGCGTGTTTTTTCCAATGTGTTTTATTTGTAGGTTCTCTGAAAAGGAACATGCAGCAACATCAAACAGAGGTGAGCAAATTAAAGCGGATGTGCAGTTTTAATTTTCTGATCAAACTCATTTACAGCTGAGATGTTATATTTATCATTTTCTTGATAAAGTCTGGTTGTGCTTTGTGTGTGGATTGTATTTTGTGTATAATAGTTTATCTTACGTGTTAATTATATTTGATTATAGGAGGTCGAAACACCAGAAGAGGAAATATGAGAGCAGAAGAATCCAGAGGTGTGTAAAACCTAAAACTCTTGATCATTTGGCCTAAAAACTTAATGTTTGATATAGATATGAGTTGATCTCAAACCTTCCAAGTACTTTGATGGATTTGAGCACATTTGATCAAAATAGACCATTCAGATCTTAATCAGCAGCACATTTAATGCTTTATTTAATGCACAGAAATAAGCATGGAAAAATAAGTTATGAATAAGTAAAACATGACAAATACAATGATTCTCTTTCCATGTGCACTTTGTTTTTATATTTTCTGTTTTCATTTTAATTTTAATTCAAGTTTTTGTCATTTTGTTGTGTTTTGTCAATATTTTTTGAATGTCCATATAGTTTTTATTCAATTTAATTTCAGTTTTAGTTTCATTCTTTTAGTACATTAAGTTAAACTATTTGAAAATTAAAAATGTTGCCAAGTAAAAGTTTTCAAATAACAACATTTGTTTTATGACATTAGTTTTACTTTTCGTTAACCTTAATAACCCTGTTTCGAGCATGTGTCAAGTTTAAAATACTAATATGTTTATTATAATTTTTATAAGTCTTTTTAGTAGCACTCGTTTAGCTATTTTATTCAACTACAATAAAATTCAAGCTCAAATTTCACTGGAAGCTTGTATAAAAAATATAAAATTATGTATAACAGAATATTTTAAATATTACATTTAAACATTAAATATAAAGAAAATTAAATCTAAAAATATTAGGTAAAAATTCAAGCTCAATTTATTTTGGAAGCTATATAAAATATAAAATTGTGTATATATATATATATATATATATATCATTTGATTAAGTATAAAATGGTACATATAAAATTCAAGCTCAATTTTCATTGGAAGCTTAAATAAAAATGTTACATTGTATATAAAAATGAATGTAAAAATGTAATTAAAATTTGAGCTTTGGAAGCTTATGTAAATAATTAATTATATAAATAAATAATAAAATAATTAATGATATAATAATTTTATATATATAATTATATAAAAAGCTTATATTTCATATAAAATAAAGTTTAGTTAAATATAAAAATAGTAAATTAAACAATATAAAAAATATTAAATTAAATATAAAAATATATTTCAAACATATCCAGAATTGGGAGCTTATATAAAAATATGAAATGATCTCCTGCGGTCACAGTGGCACTGTGTGATTATAATAATCAAGACTCTTTCCATAGTAAGAGTTCACAGGAATGAATTCTATCATATTCTACAGTGTGTGTTGATGTGTTTGGGTTTTCTAGTTCGGCAGCAGGCGTCAGACAGGAAGAGGAAGTGTGTTCCAGTGGAGTGCAGTAAAGCGACGGGTAAAGACCGTCTGACGGGTCGAGCGAGGAGGTAAACTCACCTCAAACTGCTGATGTTAATGTGCTGAAGCGTTTACAGTAACATCCCGACACATTTCACCTCAAAGCCATTATCTCATACATGTACGCCCCCTCAGAGGATGATGGGAAATGCTTTTCAGAGCGATTTATGGTTTTGTGCATTTCCACTGCCATTAACGTTCAACCACGAAACCATCTGGTCACATGACCTCTTATAATTTGACTTTTAAAATCATATTATGAGTTCAAAGCAGTTCCTTATTATACAGTAAATGGATGATCATTTACTCTTTACACACAGTAACTGAACAAAACACCCAGACTTTTTTTTCTAATCAAAGATATTGTAAATACTATTATAGAAGATAAAGATATTATTCAATTCTTATACATTGATGTATTTTTATTAACGTCATCTTAAATCACTAACTACGAATATTTTTTATTTATTAAATAATTTTTTTAATTAAAATAAAATATTATATTAAGTATAATGTTAATATTACATTTTATAATGTTAAATATTAAATTTAATAATTTTATTTTAATAATTACTAATAAAAATACATTAAGAAACAACATATACCTTCAATTGTAATATCACAATATCTTTGATACTAAAACATTTCTTTATAACAATTGCCATTTCTAATAGTTAATTAATATCCGTTTACTTTATGATAACAAGGAACTGTTTTGAACTTTAGATTGCAAATCATTTCTTGGTTTTGCCCTCATAGGTGGGATGCTAAAGAGCAGGAGGAGCATTTGCAGGTGATTTTTATTATTATCATTATCATTAGTACTACTACTGCAGTATTGAATTTGGGATGTCCATATAGTTTTTATTCAATTTAATTTCAGTTTTAGTTTCATTCTTTTAGTACATTAAGTTAAACTATTTGAAAATTAAAAATGTTGCCAAGTAAAAGTTTTCAAATAACAACATTTGTTTTATGACATTAGTTTTACTTTTCGTTAACCTTAATAACCCTGTTTCGAGCATGTGTCAAGTTTAAAATACTAATATGTTTATTATAATTTTTATAAGTCTTTTTAGTAGCACTCGTTTAGCTATTTTATTCAACTACAATAAAATTCAAGCTCAAATTTCACTGGAAGCTTGTATAAAAAATATAAAATTATGTATAACAGAATATTTTAAATATTACATTTAAACATTAAATATAAAGAAAATTAAATCTAAAAATATTAGGTAAAAATTCAAGCTCAATTTATTTTGGAAGCTATATAAAATATAAAATTGTGTATATATATATATATATATATATATCATTTGATTAAGTATAAAATGGTACATATAAAATTCAAGCTCAATTTTCATTGGAAGCTTAAATAAAAATGTTACATTGTATATAAAAATGAATGTAAAAATGTAATTAAAATTTGAGCTTTGGAAGCTTATGTAAATAATTAATTATATAAATAAATAATAAAATAATTAATTATATAATAATTTTATATATATAATTATATAAAAAGCTTATATTTCATATAAAATAAAGTTTAGTTAAATATAAAAATAGTAAATTAAACAATATAAAAAATATTAAATTAAATATAAAAATATATTTCAAACATATCCAGAATTGGGAGCTTATATAAAAATATGAAATGATCTCCTGCGGTCACAGTGGCACTGTGTGATTATAATAATCAAGACTCTTTCCATAGTAAGAGTTCACAGGAATGAATTCTATCATATTCTACAGTGTGTGTTGATGTGTTTGGGTTTTCTAGTTCGGCAGCAGGCGTCAGACAGGAAGAGGAAGTGTGTTCCAGTGGAGTGCAGTAAAGCGACGGGTAAAGACCGTCTGACGGGTCGAGCGAGGAGGTAAACTCACCTCAAACTGCTGATGTTAATGTGCTGAAGCGTTTACAGTAACATCCCGACACATTTCACCTCAAAGCCATTATCTCATACATGTACGCCCCCTCAGAGGATGATGGGAAATGCTTTTCAGAGCGATTTATGGTTTTGTGCATTTCCACTGCCATTAACGTTCAACCACGAAACCATCTGGTCACATGACCTCTTATAATTTGACTTTTAAAATCATATTATGAGTTCAAAGCAGTTCCTTATTATACAGTAAATGGATGATCATTTACTCTTTACACACAGTAACTGAACAAAACACCCAGACTTTTTTTTCTAATCAAAGATATTGTAAATACTATTATAGAAGATAAAGATATTATTCAATTCTTATACATTGATGTATTTTTATTAACGTCATCTTAAATCACTAACTACGAATATTTTTTATTTATTAAATTTTTTTTTAAATTAAAATAAAATATTATATTAAGTATAATGTTAATATTACATTTTATAATGTTAAATATTAAATTTAATAATTTTATTTTAATAATTACTAATAAAAATACATTAAGAAACAACATATACCTTCAATTGTAATATCACAATATCTTTGATACTAAAACATTTCTTTATAACAATTGCCATTTCTAATAGTTAATTAATATCCGTTTACTTTATGATAACAAGGAACTGTTTTGAACTTTAGATTGCAAATCATTTCTTGGTTTTGCCCTCATAGGTGGGATGCTAAAGAGCAGGAGGAGCATTTGCAGGTGATTTTTATTATTATCATTATCATTAGTACTACTACTGCAGTATTGAATTTGGGATGAAAATGGGAAAAAAATTATGAATATACTTTTCACAATAATATGCATTAATAGTCCTAAATATAGGGTAACTTCTGGACATGTTTTCATGAAATTCACTAAAAATGATCAAGTTGGAATGAAATGTGCTTATAATTTGACTTTTAAAATCATATTATGAGTTCAAAGCAGTTCCTTATTATACAGTAAATGGATGATCATTTACTCTTTACACACAGTAACTGAACAAAACACCCAGACTTTTTTTTCTAATCAAAGATATTGTAAATACTATTATAGAAGATAAAGATATTATTCAATTCTTATACATTGATGTATTTTTATTAACGTCATCTTAAATCACTAACTACGAATATTTTTTATTTATTAAATAATTTTTTTAATTAAAATAAAATATTATATTAAGTATAATGTTAATATTACATTTTATAATGTTAAATATTAAATTTAATAATTTTATTTTAATAATTACTAATAAAAATACATTAAGAAACAACATATACCTTCAATTGTAATATCACAATATCTTTGATACTAAAACATTTCTTTATAACAATTGCCATTTCTAATAGTTAATTAATATCCGTTTACTTTATGATAACAAGGAACTGTTTTGAACTTTAGATTGCAAATCATTTCTTGGTTTTGCCCTCATAGGTGGGATGCTAAAGAGCAGGAGGAGCATTTGCAGGTGATTTTTATTATTATCATTATCATTAGTACTACTACTGCAGTATTGAATTTGGGATGAAAATGGGAAAAAATTGTATGAATATACTTTTCACAATAATATGCATTAATAGTCCTAAATATAGGGTAACTTCTGGACATGTTTTCATGAAATTCACTAAAAATTATCAAGTTGGAATGAAATGTGCTTATGTTTTATGAAAATAATTTCATAATAAATATAATATTATTTCTAAACAGGCTTTAAATTCTGTCTTAATTATAATTTTTTATTTAGGTAAAGTCTAGATACGTTTTCATGAAATTCACTCAAAACTGATCAAGTTTGGAATGAAAATGTTCCTAATTTTTATAAAAATTATTTTATAAGAAGAAAGTGCTTCAAATTCTATTTATGATTTTTTTTTTTTTTCCAGATTTTTGGGGTAACTTCTGGATATGTTTTCATGAAGTTTTGTGATGTTTGAGATGCAAATTTGCTTAATTTCTATGAATATATTTGCACAATATAATATATTAATAGTCTTAAAGATAGGCTTTAAAATATGCATTAAAGGGGTCATATGATGCTTTTTTAAAGATCATTATTTTGTGTATTTGGTGTAACAGAATATGTTGACATGCTTTAATGTTAAAAAAAATGCATTCTTTTTCAAATACTGTACATTATTGTAGGTTCTCTATGCCCCGCCTCTCTCAAACACTTCGTTTTCTACAAAGTCCCTCCTTCCGACAAGCGCAGTCTGCTCTGATTGGCCAGCTGACCCAGTGCATTGTGATTGGCCGAACACCGCAAGCACTCGTCGGAAATGTAACGCTCCTTACCATAATCGGTAAGGCCAGAATGACCTCCTCTCCTAGGTTCACGATAGATAGATTTTTGGGGTAACTTCTTGATGTTTTCATGAAACTCACTCAAATCCGTTGAAGTTTGAGGTTAAAGTGTAACCCTTTCTAATATTCTATACACCCGATGGTTGAGTTCTGCTAGGTGTATCCAAAGAGCAGTTTGCAGGAGTTTTTAGAGGAACTCGATGCTCTTTGTGCTCCTGAGGTGGAGAACGTCAATCCAGAGACTGGCATTGAAAACACAAAGCCACGTGCATCTGAAGACTCATCCAAAACGACCGTAGTCAAGACCCCCGACGGGACGGCAGAGCAGAATGGACGTGTTTCTACAGAATCCGCTCTCAAGGCCACCGAGAAAAAGGTCTGGTTTTCTGAAAACCACGACAGGAATGGCACAGAAAAAACTTCACAGGTCAAGAACGGCCCTGTAGAAGAAGACAGCCGAACACTGGAGCGAGACCACAGCGAATGTATCCCGGAGGAGACAAAACCGGCCTCTCCGGATCGGGAAAACCCCGTGGAGAAACTGAATCCGCTCACTGAAGCCGGCGAAGCATCGTGTCCCAAAGCCGGAGATGTTCGTATATCGGCAGAACCGGACGAGAACCAACCTGTCGAACACAGCAAGAGCTGCTCAAACAGAGGGAACGGTACGAGAACATCAGTTACGGGTTCAATAGAGAGCAGCGGTCGGGTTACAGAAGTATAAACTCTATTCATTTTCTCCATAGGGGAAGTGATTTTTAATAGCTTATAAACTGTTAAAGACAGAATTACTGAGCTCCGAGCTTGTTAAACAATGGTATGCTGTTGTCAGACTGCATTATTTCAACTTATTTTTACAATAATTGTCTTTAAAATTCGAATTTGTGGTGAAAAACTACATTACCCATAATGCTGTACAGAAAGTTCCACCAGTAAGCCAAAAAGCTCCGCCCACTCCCATGAAGGACCGTGAGTGATATTTGTATTATTAGATGCGTATTTTGTAACAAAATATATTGTTTCTACAGATATAATCAACAACTTTAAATGAACATTTTTTTTTTTTTAGTTTTTAATTAAATTATGTAGTTTGCAATGCTTCATGGGATTGTAGTTCTTGTAGTTCACAGTAGTTGTAGTTCACAGTCTTGAATCTTTGTCCTTTGGTCTGATTTTCAAATGCTTGTCTGCTTCAAATCGACGTTTGTATTGTTTTATATTATTATTATTTAATACTTTTTTTTAAAACTTAAATTAAAACAAAGTAAAATTACTATTGAAATATTCAATGTAAAATAAAAACAAGTATTTAAGAGAAAATAATATAAGTAATATATTAATCTTAATTTTATTTTACATATGTTATGCATCTTGTAATGCTTAAATAAAAGTTTGTAATAGACTTTTTTTTTAAATCAATATGGGAAATATGAATGGAAAAAATACTTCCGCAACAGTGTTATTTAAAGGGTTAGTTCACCCAAAAATGAAAATTAGCCCAAAATGAATTTTGGATGAACTAACCCTTTAAGTATTGTTTAAATAGAATTATAGTTATTAGGATTTTGAGATTTTTATTTGGATATTTTCCTTTTTATTTATTTTGTAATTTTTTATTAATTAATTTATATTTTACTATTTATCTTTTATTTTTCATTTCATTTTCATTTTTAAATGATTTTAGTTTTAGTTCTGGATCCAGCGACACTGAAAAAGTGGGTTGCACTAATGCACTCTATTATAAACTGAAATGATTGATGCGCAGCAGGTTTTTGGGGTTTGTGCATTCATGTGTTTTCACTGAGTGTGTGTGTTTGTGTGTGTTTGTGTGTGTGTGTGTGTGTGTGTGTGTGTGTGTGTGTGTGTGTGTGTGTGT